GCTGGACCGACATTGGGTATGTTGGCTACGTCTTGGGCAATATTGCCAATATTACCTCAATGTTGGGGAAACAATGAAATTCCGATATTGCTATGTCATTATTCATACCGTCACGATGATCCAATGTGCCGGAACGCACTTAAAATTTTTTGAGAAATGTTGAAGTTCTTCTTCAGGCCACTAGATGGAGGTAAGGGTCTCGCTTTTTGCACAGTACACCTTAGTACTCTTCCCTCTTTCCCTGCAATCGTCCCTCGTATTTAGTACCTCGCCATATGTCTCACCTAGTCTCATTATAGCCATCAACTAAGCTGGACAATTAATCATTTGTTATCCGCATATTCCAGACAGAATCATGGAGTCCATGAAATAATCAAGCTCATTTTCCCTCTGAGAGCCCCTACGAACAGAGCATTACTTTATCAGAAAGGAGTATTGGAATTTAGGAAAGTATCTGCAGCTCATTGTTCTGTTCCCAAATCCTGAGGATGTAATGAAGAAACGAAGGACTGAATTTGCAGATACTCTGTAGAACAGTAAATAGTGGGCCATCTCCTGAAATGTACTACAATTAGTACATATAGAGGAAGATCAGCCTCTGTACTTTTCTGTCTCCTGCCCATCCACGGGACAGACATGTGCATGAGGGAGGGGGGTCGTATTGGTACAGGCCATACTCGTATGGAACATGGGACATGCTCAGTTCGAACCCTCAGGCAGCTTTAAGATGAACAAGATGATGCGACTTTTAAAATATCAGACGGATTTCAGACAGATTTCATCACAACTTTTGAAGCGCATGTCGACTTTACTTGGATTTTTTCAATAATAGGGCAAATCCAGGAAGGAAGTAAGAATAGACGAGTTTGAAAAATTTATTAAATTTCTCAATTTATTTACGCTTTCCCCGTCAACGTAACATTTTCGGCATTTAAGCACGTGGTATTCTATTATCTCTTCGATAATCATGAAATGCAGAGATAATTTTAATAGATTAATGGAAACTGTTGAGAGATCTAAATACCAAAGGTGAACTCGATCTAGGTCTCACGGCTTCGCACACATCCTCAATCGACTTTGATGTGAATAGCGTTTCGAGTTTTCTCACTTAATGTCGTCTTTTCTTCCAGGTACAAGTGCTTCTCAGCCCTGAAGTAAGTTTTAAAAAAAATGAGGTTTCACCAGGTTTAGAGCCATTACGTTGCCAATCATCACCTTCCTCAACCTAATCGTTAGGTTGAGGAGTTTCCCAAGCTGAAGAAACATCATTAAACACACAAGAGAAATCAGAGGAGTCTGAATTGGAAAGAATATTTGGAGGAAAACTCGTTCCCAGCCAGAAAACGTATCATTGATTGGCGTGGATGGGAGAAGTCGCAGGCTTTTTCACCTGTGGAGGGGCCCTAATCAACAACCGTTACGTCTTTACTGCCTCCCTCTGCGTCAAATCGAAGTATTGACTATGTAGTACTACAAAGTATTAAGTAGTAAATCAGCAAAGAGAGTGATTTTCCGTTTTGTAGCCCCTCAGGAACCTAATACGTGAGTCTGGGATCCAAGAACCTTTTTCAATGACAGGCAGGTGAAGCCATACAGATTACAACGATGGTCGTCATGCATCCTGAGTACAACGATGATACAAATGAGAATGACGTGGCCTTCCTGAAACTTGAGACTGCAGTGAACTTCACAACATAATCAAACATTCGTCCAATATGTCTCTCCTTTAATACAAACCCGAATCCAGGATCAAGCTTGGCAATCGCCGATTGGGGGGAAACTTCAGGAGAGGAGATGACAGGGCAATTCACTCTTAGACAACTTCAACTCTCGCGACCATATTACAGGTAGCCTTTCATCGAAGCAGTTACTGGAAGCAATAGTGTACGTGATCAGTAAAAAAATAAGCTGTCAGGACAATTTTCCTACTAGAAACATCACGAATAACTTCATCCGTGCACAGTCAGGTGCACATACAGGATGAAAGCTTCTGCAGAACAATTTGTTAGCATTCAGAAAATCGGGAGACACAGTGGTGGATTGAGCGCGACCTCATTCATACAACGGGAACTATATAGTTATCGAATTAACTGCTAGATGTCAGGGCCGATGGAAGGCCTCAGCAGAACGGGGACTCCAAGGGCATTACTTTCTGTATATCCTTTTGCTGAATATCCTAAGACGGACTGACACATTGTTTCGTCCGTAATGTCGAACTCTAAATGGAATCATGCACTGGTCCAATTATGTCACACTATCTATATTATGATTCACGTTACTGGGTTTCGACCTGACATGAGAGATTTGAAGGAAAAATGAATTCAATAAATCCCATCCTCGTAACGCCATTCCATATAACTTTAATTCAATAAAATGGAAATAATTGCATGTGCGATGAATGGAAATTTTTCTCGGATAAATCTCGGAATGCATGCGAATATATCGATCTGTGACGATGACATCCTATGTCCATCCAAAGGACGATCGCTTCTGGACTCGTATCCTTCTCTGAATAACTGGACTGTCCACGGACGAGTTTTTGCAGTGGGGGACGGTTTTCCTGGAAAAGCAGGTCAGGTACGAATTTTGTAAGTCGCCGTATGAGGATCTCATCGATTAGGACTTCATGACCTTCAGGAATAATGAGTTCTTTTCCATGCTGTTTCTTTATGGAGCGAACGAATCCCTCCCTACGAAAGTATGTACAGTGGCATTTAACTTAAGAACCACTGGGTCGGCTATGAACTTTCTGGAGCCCATTCGTCTTCGCAGTGACTTTTCCCTGACACTGACTTTCAATGTGCCGATTTTTCCTATCCATGCGTTCCTCGTTTGGGCGGCTTGGAAGGAATGATCGATTCACGTATTAGTGGCATCAATATCAACGGTAAGATGATTCGTGATTTCGACTTCTCTAATTTCGAACGAAGAACCGCCTGTACTCTACGAGAGAAGAGAGCGTTAACATCAGTTCGCCATTTTCGTTCATTTTCCCCGAGGTAAAAAGAGAGAACTTCATTCGCTTTCTTCATTCTGGAAAAGCCAAAAAAAAGAATGAAACATCCGAGCGATTTTCTATTAACTCTCATCAGCGTGAAAATAAATGGAAACTGGCGTTTTCGCTTGCGTTTTCCTTAGAGTGTGTATTGTGGCATCCCCCTCTTCAATATTTAGCTCGCGACCTACTACGTTAAACTGGCAGGTCGTTGCGATTGCTGGAAATGATTCCTGCACGATGCCACGTCGCGAGACGAATTGAGGAAAGAATGACATTTCCAAAAAAAATGCCACAATATCCACGATTCCTTGAGGATTAGATCCTGAAATGGCATTGCTTCTCTTGTGCCAACGTTGCTTTGAAAGCATCCATTTCAGCGTCATGCCCACCTTCATTTTACGAACACTCATAAAATCACATATTTGACTTTTGAATTGACGAAGAAGAGGGGGAAATTTAACCCTATGCCGGTATTGTAGGGAAAAGTCAAAGGGTTATCCGCCGATCTCACAGGGACCTACACGAAAATGTGAGATATTGCGATGGTCCTGTGACCTTTCTTCATCTCGCATTCCCATAAATACAGCAGGAAAATACCATGTAACGCTATCGGTGTGAAACCTGCCTCGTGATTCCACCCCACCGCACTCTCGACACCAACAGGACGAATCGCCAGCGTGCGAATCTCCAGACTTCCGCCGTCAGCGGATGAACAAGGGACTCGGGTCTCACAATTCATTTGGAACCGAAGCTGAAGAGAGAAAAAAAGCTCTTCTCCTTTCTGCTATTAATTTCCTCTTGGTGGGAACTGTTCTCTTCTTTTGGACGTTGGTGTGACAGTAATTAACTTGTGAATCATATTGTAAGTCGCATATATACTCTCCCGCAGTGCTCTCTATACTTTGTACCGACCCTTCTTCAATCCTGATATTGACGAATGAGAAACGCATAGATATCAATGCGTTTCTCATTTGTATGGCTCGGAAGAATAAGTAGAACGGTAGCAAAATCCGAAAGAAAAAGGTTACATGCTCAAAGAAAGGAAACACCAGCTTTAACTTTTTTTTAGTTCATTTGCCCTCCCTTTCTACCCTGGAAGAACAAAACGAAGAGAACATCCGATAAAGTTTCCCTCTCAACAGCGTAAATTGGGAGAAGAAAAGAGTTTCATCTCGCGTATGGCGCCTCATCGTGAGAAACAACTTTTTGAAATTCTAGCTCACGTTCCATTACGTTCAAATGGCAGATTACTAAGATTGAAAGCGAAGGCTGGAAACGATTTCTGCACGATGACACCTCGTGAGAGGAAATGTGGAAGAAATTAGAACCTCGTGACAATCAAAAAGCTATATCCATAATGCATTACGAATCAGGTACAAAAATTGGTTTTCATTGAATTAAATTTATTTCTCGTCCATGCCCCTGTTTAACTATCAATTGAAACGAGATCATTTTTGCGAAGGCTAGCCCCTCTTCAAAGGTTTGGATGAAGAGCTGAAGAAACCGTGTCTTATCGGCGTTGCTCGGGGTATAAATACCGAGAGTACTTGGATGTTCCACCTCATTTTCAGAGCACAAATTGATATCACAACCGTTCTAGGCATGGAAGCAGGCGTCACTAAGAATGAATCAATTCGCTTTTTGGTATGCCTGAGTGTGAGGAAAAAAACTGGTTTAATGATCCGGTTGGATTTGAACAGCTGATGTTCAGTCAATAGGAGGTGAATTCACAAGAGCCTGGCTCCAATCGAAAGCCAGGAAGGCGGAGTGAGATTCAGTGAAATTTGAATTAAATCGAATGCATCATCTTCGGTCTTTCCAACCTATGTCAATCCTTGTCATTTATTTTTGGGTTTCTCAAATATTTTCATCTTATCAAACGGAATAAATAACCCGGAACGAAACTGAAAAAGGAGTGAAATGAAATTCTGAATCTCTCTATCCGCAATGTGAAAGGAATTTGGAGTTTTCTGTTGCTATTCCGGTGTCCAAAGCATGGAACATGCTCAGTTCGATCCCTTTGGAAGCTTTTAGAGGAATAAGATAATGCGATCTTAGAAATAAAAGACGGATTAGAGAAAGGGAACAAGCACAACTTTTAGAGAGCACGTAGGCTTCATTTGAGTAGTCTCGATTTTGAACATTATAGGGCGAATCCAATGATGGAGTAAGGATAGACGAGTTTTCAAAGTAAGGTCTATTGAGGGAAAAAAATTATGGGAATTAGAAATGTATTATCAGTTTCTGTTTCTGAATATTTTCATCTTTGAAGCACGTACAGTTCGATTATCTGTTAGATAAACATGTAAAGGTGAGATCATCTTCACCGAATAGGGGAAACAGGTGTGACATCTAAATACCAAAAGAGATCGCGATACAGCAGTTCATGGAAATGCTGGAGGACGAGGATGAATTTCCTTACAGCTTGCAGGTCCGTCGTTTTTTTTTTCTCCATGAGAAATGACAAAAGGCCCATCCCATTGCGAAATTTGTTGTCAATCGTCAAGCTTCCCTATTTTAACTTGTGTTCCCTTCTCACCCGTTTACTTACATAATCACCAATTCCCCCTGCCGTCCACTTGCCGTCGACACCGTGTGGATTTAGGTGGAGATTTTGTCATGGGCCGTTCAATTATCCTTAATCTGGTAAAGAATTTCCCACTACAGGACAGGATGCGACTGATCTTCCATCGACTCCGAAATGAATATTATGATGAAGTAATCTCTTCTAAACTCGTCTTTTCTTCCAGGCGCAAGTGCTTCCCAATCCTGCAGTAAGTAAAAAAAAAAAAAAGTTTTCACCAGGCCTAGAGGCATTTAAGGGCTAATCATAACCTTTCTGAACTTAATCGTTAGGTTGCGGAGTTTCCCAAACTGAAGAAATATCCCTGGACACCGAAGAGAATGCAGAGGAATCGGAATTGGGAAGAATCATAGGAGGAACACCCGTTCCCAGTCAGAAAAAGTATCCCTGGATTGCATGGATGGGAGAAGCCGAAAACGTTTTCAACTGTGGAGGGGCCCTCATCAACGATCGATACGTCCTCACCGCTTCCCACTGCGTCGCATCAAAGTATTGTGCAAAATGATTGGATGCGGAACAAAAAAATTATAAATCAACAAATGTCGTACTCTTTCCAATTCCATAGCCCATCACGAACCTACTACGTGAGTTTGGGATCCAAGAAACTTTTTCAATGGCCGGCAGGTGAAGCCATGAAGGTTCGAGCGACGGCCATCATGCATCCTGAGTACGACGAAAAAACATTTGAGAACGACTTGGCCCTCCTGAAACTCCACGTTCCAGTGAACTTCACAACATACCCAAACATTCGTCCCATATGTCTCTCCTCCAATGCCAAGCCGAATCCAGGAACAAGCGTGACAATCGCGGGTTGGGGCCTCACTTCCGCAAGTGAGTTCACGGAGAGGAGATGACAGGGTATTGTATGATTCGCTTTAAGACTATTTCAACCCGTCTGACGATATTTTAGACGGGCTTCCATCGGATCAGTTAATGGAAGCAACACTGAACGTGATCAGGCAAGAGGTCTGCCAGAAATATTTTCCTAGTAAGAACATCACGGACAACTACATCTGTGCGCAGTCGAGTGGAAAAAACACGTGCCAAGTAAGTAAGAAAATAATGTTTGGAAATCTCGGAGAATCGAGAGTGCAATCGCAGTAAATCAATTCTTTAGGGTGATTCTGGAAGCTCTTTGATGCATCGAACTCCGGCTGGATATTACCAGAGCGTTGGCGTCACCTCCTTTGGGAAGGTCGATTGCTTGCCTCAATACGGCGGCGTCTTCGCGAGAACAACGAGTGGGTGCCTTGCGACTTCCCCGAAACGCATTTTTCTATTAAGAAGACCTCTAGGTCATGTGTTTTCCGTTGCAGATTACGTGGAGAATTTCATCAAGATGAACACCGAGGATGCCGAGTGGTGCCTTGCACCCAATGGTGGCCTGCGCCCTCATTCTTCTCGTTTTTTCCACATTTTCTGCCTTTTTCTTTGCCTTCCCGTTCCGTCGTCTTGGAAATGAAGTGGTGCTCATTGACATTTCACTTTTATTGGTTCTGTTCTTTCTCGATTTTCGCAGTTAAATCTAGATGACCGCGCATGTTCATAAGTCATACGAAAAATGCTC